TGTATACCAAAAGTTAAGAAACAACAAGATGAGGAAACAGCTAGAAATGTGACCAAACACAAGAGGATGAGAATGACATTGAGAAGCAAAAACAAAAGTTCAAGGAAATACATTGGTGTATTTCTGTTGGGATGAGTTGATTACCCATGCCAAATAGCATAGCCAGCCGTAGGGATGTAAGAACACAGGGCAATAACTACTGAAATCACCAAGACTCGCACGGCATGGCCGGAAGATTGGCTCCCACAGGACAGCTTCCCCAGCCTGATCTCAATCACATTCACCATAGACAGGATCAAGAAAATGCAGCCCAAAACGGTCCCAATAGCAGAGCCCGTCATCCCAAGCTTCAACACTATGGTATTCACATGGACCTTTGAGGCCTCATCATCGTCTTTGCTGTTTATCACATTGATGGTCAGCTTCAGGCCCTGGGCCAGCAGAGAGGAGAAGAGGAAGAAGCTGAAGGAGACGACCTCGTACACCAGCAGCTTCTTCACCACGTCCGTCCCCCGCGTCGCACCCCGAGCGCTCCTCCAGGCTTTTCTGGCCCGGGGTGGCGATCGACAGCCCCATGAAGACGGCCACGGAGAAGAGCGAGTTCACATTCACCAACCCGTCGAGCGCCGTCACGTGGACGCTGGTGGTGCGCCCTTTGTCAATATATTTTCTCAAAAGCAGAGCAACCCACACCATGGGCAAACTCACCAAGGTCAAGAGTTTGTGATTACGAGATTTACGACCTCAAAAGAAACAAAACCTATGTTTATGACAAAAAAACACGTTTTGCATGTGACTATGTGACAGACAATATGTGCTAACAATCCATGGAAAGAATACACAACAATGATATAAATTCTGCAATTTGAGAACAGAAAATATATTGATCGATGGAACAAGTGTACTTCATTTATATTTGAATATAAATATGTACCGATAAAAAATGTATATGTATAAATATATAAGGAGCACCAATGTTTTAAAATATAAAATCAAACAAGTGTACTTCATTTAGTTCGTAGTTCATATTCAACACTTCAAATTCAGTTCTACACAAAAGTCTTTTATACGGACAATAACCCTTAATTCAAACGTTAGCTTCCAGTTACAGCTTGTTGTATCGAACATAGCCTATGACTAAAGTTACTACAATAGTCATTACACTCAAGAAAACACATTTTTGTAAACAACTTTTATTCTAATCATAAATATATAACTTCTTCATTTTATAATGAAAGTATGACTCAATTAATATCAATATAAAATTTTAAAAATGAGAAAAACAAAATTTAATCAAGAGGAAATAAAAAGGGAAAAGTGTCAGATAGGTCCTCGAACTTACCTAAAAAGGTCAAATAAGTCTTTATATAGGAGCCTCTGTCCAGCCATCGCCATTTGGGGCGCTTCCCAGTGGAAATTTTTATGCAACTTTTTGAGCATCTTATTCATTAAGTCTAGTTTACTCATACCAAATTTCAGCTAAAACTTCAATCCGGAAGGCATTCAAATTAATTCTTGAAGATGATTGCGCTTTTAACTGCGCAGTTATCTTCAAGAATTAATTTGAATGCCTTCCTGATTGAAGTTTTAGCCGAAATTTGGTATGAGTAAACTAGACTTAATGAATAAGATGCTCAAAAAAGTTCATCAAAAAATTCCAGCGGGAAGCATCCCAAATGGCGACGGTCGGATAGAGCCTCTTATATAAGGACTTATTTGATCTTTTTATGTAAGTTCGAGGACCTATTTGACTATTTTTCCCGAAATAAAAATATTAGTAGTATTGACTGCATATTTGAAAAGACAAAATTTAAATAAATCTAAACTAGAATGTAATATGGGGTACTCCGAATATTTTTAGATACAAACCATATTTAAGCCTAAAATTTCAACAATTTATATCCTAATACTAATATCATATGTTGTTTCTGTTGTGCTTTATAATTTTTTCTTACCCAAGGGGGTTGGGGCTAGGGTGCTAGGGGAGCTTGAGGTTAGCAGAGCTAAAAGTGTTTCGATAGAGTTTCAAACCCAAAACCTTCTATATGAGAGTGAGTCGGCAAATAATTGAACTTGACCACTACGTTATGCTTTCTAATACAATATAATATCGGTTCTAATTAAATGTTACTCCCTCCATCCCACTTTAAGGTTCCCACACTATTTACAAAGTTTGACTGACCATAAAATTAACTTATCCCTGTTATTAATATAACATTTTAAATAAAATTTACATATTCAGAAACTACATTAAAATCGTTACAAAACCTGCAAAAAATAATTTAAATTTCATAAACTTTAGATGTATAAAGTAAAAGATTAGGAACAATGCATGTTGACCGGAGAATAGTGTATGAGAACCTTTAAATGGAACGGGGGAGTAATATTTTTTATTGAGATGAATTCCGACCCTATGACCTTTTCTGTGAGACTGCCACTATAATATCATCGAATGGAAACTAATATTACATGTTAATGGCTTCTTATCTATAACATTGTTTTCAAACAGAGTTCAAAGAGAAAACTGGAAGACGAGATCATAAACCAAAATACATCGAAAAGTTTTTCAACACCCAAAAAATAAAAGAATAATACATTGATATAAGATCTCGAAGTGTCACTAACCCTTGCAAAAAATGTCACAAACATTTGCCTTTTTTTATTTAATCCATTTAAAACTTCAATTTGGCACTTATCTCCATTTTAGCATTTCATATTACATCACTATGACACTATATATATGTGTATTGTGTATAAAGAATTAAATAAAATGGATCAAGACGACAGGATCAGGGTCCTCTGCGGCATCGGACGGCAGTATAGCAACGAGGACGGTCTCAAGATCGGTGAAGGAATGAATTATCTTTGGCGCTTAGAATTTTTTATCGAACGATCGGGAAGAGCCGGTCAGCCAGGCACCCTGCCATGCTCTAAAGCAAGGCAGAGGCTTCGGATCCAAGACAACAATGTATACCAAAAGTTAAGAAACAACAAGATGAGGAAACAGCTAGAAATGTGACCAAACACAAGAGGATGAGAATGACATTGAGAAGCAAAAACAAAAGTTCAAGGAAATACATTGGTGTATTTCTGTTGGGATGAGTTGATTACCCATGCCAAATAGCATAGCCAGCCGTAGGGATGTAAGAACACAGGGCAATAACTACTGAAATCACCAAGACTCGCACGGCATGGCCGGAAGATTGGCTCCCACAGGACAGCTTCCCCAGCCGGATCTCAATCACATTCACCATAGACAGGATCAAAAAAATGCAGCCCAAAACGGTCCCAATAGCAGAGCCCGTCATCCCAAGCTTCAACACTATGGTATTCACATGGACCTTTGAGGCCTCATCATCGTCTTTGCTGTTTATCACATTGATGGTCAGCTTCAGGCCCTGGGCCAGCAGAGAGGAGAAGAGGAAGAAGCTGAAGGAGACGACCTCGTACACCAGCAGCTTCTTCACCACGTCCGTCCCCGCGTCGCACCCCGGGCGCTCCTCCAGGCTTTTCTGGCCCGGGGTGGCGATCGACAGCCCCATGAAGACGGCCACGGAGAAGAGAGAGTTCACATTCACCAGCCCGTCGAGCGCCGTCACGTGGACGCTGGTGGTGCGCCCTTTGTCCTCCGATGAAGACATTGATCTTCTGCTCTGGTCAAGAGATGGTAGTATTTCCTACCTAGCTTTTTCCCTCTCTTGGTATATTCTGAATGCGGGAAAGGGGGGCTTTTATCTATCAAACTGTGGGTTGATGATAGCTTTTGAAGGAAAGGGGTTAAAGGGGTGTGGAAATTTGGAATGTTTGAAGCTTTTTTGCTATGTTTTTTGGACTTGAAAAAAAGTGGTGTCTTTGCGGAATGGCAGTTTCATACCAGAGACCAACTGATATCATGATTCATTCATGACACAGAGCAATGCACACGAAACTACATAAGGGAGATCGAGTGGGAGACTAATATCATCATCACCTTAACTCTCCCAAAGTCGTACATAGTAATTTGTAAATGGTATCTTTATTCCTCATAACAGTTTTTTTAGAGTAAAAAGAAACTTATGTTAATCCAATTCATGGTTACCCAAAGAGCTTACAATAACATCAGGCTGGGAATATAAAATAACCTCATTATATTTAAATATCCTAGAGTGGAGCATTATTGATAATAAATAATTGATTAATATTTCCATAAATAATTACTTAATATTGCATATCCCAGCATTATTGTACACGAAGCAACATTCCATCGTTTATATTACTCACTTAAGTGTTATACACTATTAAAAATTAACTTAAAGTAGACTATTTTGTTAGGTTATATGACCATTTCTCCCTTTAGATCTTAATAAAGTGACTTTCTTTTCAAAAGAGAAAGTGTTTTTACAAAACTTATCTTCATGAAAAAATACAAACTTGATAAATGATAATTAAATAACTAAGAGTTTAGATATTTTTAGTGCCAACTATTACGAGCTCGTTTGGTGACACTAAAATTGGCCGATTCTACTGAAATTTATGAAGTTCTGGCTGAAGTGGCTGTATTGGCTGATTCTGTTGATTCATGAAAAAATTATATTTAAAATATTTTTTATTAATAAATAAAATAAAAAATTATATGAAAAAATAGTTAAAATGATCCTCTACAGTAACTTCGGCCAATACAACCAGAAAAGTAACTTCAACCTTACTTTTTCAGCTTATTACACAATTCAACGCACGAAATAAAAAATTACGTGTTTGGTGAAAAAGCTGGCTGATAAACCTGATAAGCCGAAAAAAGGGGTCACCAAACGAGCTCTACATCAATAATACTTTTGGTACTCGTGTTAAAACTTTTCACCTTTGAACTTTTCCATTCTTATAGGAACATTTTAGTTTTTTTATTTCTTTTACTTTTTTATAGTGACACTTTTAGTCATTCCCTTATGATTTCATTGTAATGGGTGGAGGATCAAAGGTCACTTTTGCCAGAAGTAAAAGTGATTTTTTTTAAATTGAGTACCAAAAATGTGTACGGCACATTAGTCAAAGAAGAAAAGGTGAAAAAGTTAAAACATGAATATTGAAGTGTCACTAGCACAGTAGATACAGAACCAAAATGAAAAAATCTCAAAATAACTAATGTGTATGTTTTGACATGCTGCTTAGCTAGAGGGTTGAGTATGAGAATCACTACTCCCAAACATTCCAAAGGGAAGTTTGAGACCAAAAACTTTTGCAATAAAGGAGAACCAAGAGACCATATATCTATGAACAGCCACTCCACCAAGTGCCAATGTAGATGTGTCCCTAGTAAAAAGAAGCTTCATCCACTCACTAGTCCCACATGGATGTAGTGTGAACCAAGGCTGATTCAGGTATGGGTGCTCCTACAGGTATATGATGTAAGATAAATGCTGGGTTAAAACTATAGGATGTAAATACAATTGGAGGTAAATAACTTTACTCTAGTAACCTCTTGTGTTATAAAGGTCCATTTGTGTACTGTCAGTTCCTGCCTTGTGCTTTCAGGGATGTTCTTTTCCAGCTCTTGCAATGCCAAAGGTTGTCCATCTGGGAGATGAAAACAACTAGCATCAAAATTATACTATAATTCATATCTAGTACACATAATATGTCTGGCAGGGAATTGGGTCTGCTTAATTTTGACTTTGTCTATTACATCGCTTTATTAGTTTAACCGTTCATATTTTTTTGCTCATTAGTATCAACTAGTAATTTCAACCGTAGCATTGAAGATAGCAGGTAGAAATTTAATCTCCAGTTTAGGATTTATTTATATTATGGTCAGGATTAATTTATCATTAAAAATTTTAAAAGTGGGGCTATTTTCAGTGTGAAATTGAATTATTGTATGCTGATGGGCAAAAGAAACTGGACTGTTGATTTAGTTTTTGGCCAAAATCCTGACAGAAATATGGTCAGGCACATTTAACTTGATCTTTCCTCTTAGAATATATGTTGTCTCATTTTTAAACATGGACATGTTTCTAAAAAATACATAATTAAACTCATTCAACGGTCTCCACCGCAATTTCAGCCTAATTTTACACTTGTTTTTTAAGCACTCAGAAAGGGTTTAGTAAGAGGGGTGGAATACTTAAATATAATCCATAAAACCTAATGACCTGTTTGAGGCACAAATGTGTAGAATTGGACATACCACTCCAATATGCACGGAAGTATAGCACAGGAACCCTATAAGATAAGCTGTAAACAATGTGGAAGTCGTAACAGCACCTTTCACATCTCTGAGGTTGAACCTTTAAACAGAAACAAAAGGGTGAGGCTCCTTCAGAGAAAGATGAGTATGAAAGATCATTAATTTCACGTAATATGTCCAAAGAAATTAAGAATCTGAAGCACCAACACAAACGAAACAAAATCTACAGACCAATGCAGCACTATCAATAATGTCATCTTCCTCCAAGCAACCTGTCTCTTTTATTATACCGTCGCCATATTCATGATTATCTTCCTGAAGAGAATGAGAAGAAAGTATGAAATTAAGGGCTTGTTTGGTCAGGGGTTGAGAGCAGAAGAATTATTTTCATTTTATTAAATTATCTCTACTTTTTTGCCTTAGACTAGAAAATAACTACTACACCTCAGTTCCAAAAAAAAGGTCACATTCCACCAAGGTACAACTTTTATTTTCAAAAGGTATAACTATTAGACATCATCAATTAAAGCTATGCTCTAAAATTTGAGTGTTTTGTTTAACCACAAATAGCACTCTAAGTCTAAACCTGTTTTTTGGCACTTTTCCTTTTTCGAAAAAATAGCTTTCTTTTGTTAAAAAAGGATTTGTTTTTTGAAAGAAAAATATAGCTTCAAAGAGGACTCTTTTTTCAGGGACAGAGAAAATATATGTGCAGTTAAATCCTATATACCTCATTTTTCATCTTGGCTTTCTTTTCAACTATCTTAGTCTAAGAATAAATTAATAAAATAGATATCACCCATCCCCTTCTCTCTTCTCTAAAATCCCCAACCAAACAAGGAGTAATGAATTTCTCTATATGAAGTATCAGGTAAGCTCTCCACAACGTGACTGAGTTAAAGTATGAACTACCAGCACATACCACGGTAGACCCGGGAGGTGGAATTACACCATCCACGCAGAGATAACCGTCTACCTGAATAAATAAATTAAAACAGAAAGTAACAATTTTATTAAATGCATCTTTGAATGTGTCACTAAGAAAACAAGCAAACTGTGGGTGTAGGGCAGTACTCCAGAGGAAGGAACCCCAAGAAGCTTTGGACATCTGCACCATGACCATTGAGGAAAAGCAGGGTTAAACTTCTGCCATTGCTCACTAAATGCACAAGCAGCAATGTAGAACTCTCTAGATGAAATGCTCCCATCCCAGGACCCTTTATCAATTATACTCCTTTCTGATGACATTACAGTCTGAACAGAGACTCAGACAGCCAATTTCGTACACTGTATGTGTTCAAATTCAAATATAGCATCTATAGTGACAGCAACCTTTTTTTAAATTGACTCAATTATGAATTATCGATTTCAATTGTTCTTTTCCGGAAAGCACAGACACCATAAAAGAAAAGAATCTAAAGCTTAAAGCCTTAAATACTGCCATAAAGATGAACTGAACAGCAAAGAATTCTTCTCTGAAGTGTGAAAACAATTCAATATGCTGCAAAAAAGTTTAGGCATATCTGTACCTTTTCCCTAAAATTTATCCATCTCCATTTCCTCTGTAATCCAAATGAGAAATACATTCATAATCTTTTATAATTAATTTGATCGTATCTATAACAAGAGAAAACTTATATAGTCTGTTATGGCTGCATAAAGACAGGTGGGAGCTAATTCTAGCCTCATTAAATGAACTGCTTTAAAATTCGTTATACCTAATAATTATCTTCTTCCTTGAGCTAGTTGTGATTCCTTGAGTTGGAGAAAGATCTCAGATAAACTTGCAGTTGATATCCCTGTACTGGAGTGAATGCTGAATAAGAGTAGCCTCAGAAGATTTGTAATGATTGATTGACCAAAATGTTCTCCTTATCATGCTTATTGACTGAAAAAAACAAATTATATATATATATATATATGTGTGTGTGTGTGTGTGTGTGTGTGTGTGTGTGTGTGTTTTGGTTCAAATAAGCACACGATCTTATGAGAGAAATGAGAACGAATCTGGACCGTTAGATTTGCTTCAAGTGAAATTCAGTGTGCATTAGATGAAACTGTAATGTGCATTAGGTGAAATTGAAATGTGCATCACAAAGGGTACGATAGAGTGACATTATGTGCAGTTGAATTGTGCATTACGTGAAATTGAAATGTGCACTAGGTGAAGCTGAAATGTGCAGAATAAAAAGTACGATGTGATGTTATTTTTGTACTTTTTTCCCGCACATCAGTTTTATCTAATGCACACTTGAGTTTAAATTTTTATTTTGCACATTTCAATATCATTTAATGCACATTTCAGTTTCACCAAATGCACAATTTGGTTCCACATAATACAATCCAACGGTCCAGATTCGTTCTCATTTTTCTCCTAAGATCTGTTCTTACCGGAACCGCTCCTTCGCTCCTTATATATATATTATAAGGAAAATTCTACCGTGCATCACTAAATAGAGAAGGTACCGGTGCACACTCTTAAAACAATCAAATTACAAAATCCTACCACGGTCACATCCTAGTCAGCTTAGTATAGGAAATTCTATATTTTGCATTTAGTCCTCAGAAAATGACCAAGTTAAATGTTCAACTTAGTTATCTGAGAAAGCTGATCTCAGATAAACTTGCAGTTGAGATCCCTGTACTGGAGTGATTGCTGAATAGGAGTAACCTCAGAAGTTTTGTAATGATTGATTGACCAAAATGTTCTCCTTATCATGCTAATTGACTGAAAACAACAAATTATATACGGAGTATTATAATGAGGAAAATTCTACTGTGCATCACTAAATAGAGAAGGTACACTCTCTTAAAACAATCAAATTACAAAATCCTACCACGGTCACATCCCAGTCAACTTAGTTAAATTACAAAGAAAATGACCAAGTTAAATGTTCAAATACTGATTAAGTTAGTCCAGAAAAATAAAAAATTTCCTCATTAGTCGGATGTTCACCGCGACGACGATGCCTCCTTTTCAACTATTGCTGATACCTTGATGTTTTTCTTCCTTCTGTGGTTCTGTCAGTGGCGTCAAATCTCTTTCCTGTAACCCTATGGAAAGTGTGGTGATGGACTTCTGATGAGAATCAAGATTCAAATTAATAATGGCATCAGGTTCTCATTTACATGATCCTCTCCCTCTCGTTGCTCATCAAAGCTTCACCGTTTGATGCTACGAAACCTTCAGCAAAAAAAGAATCAGAGCAGCGCTGTCAGGGACCAAATACAGAGGAAGAGATGTCTTCCTCTGGAAGCTGAGGGGCAAGAAGCTCGACAGCCAGGAATGAACACCCCTCTCAAACTCCCAGACAACCATTTTATAGCTCCTCTGCTTTTCTATCATTGTTCCCTAACTTCTCTAATCAAACTACTTACGCTTTATTAATTATCATTCTTTTCAGTGAAACTAACATAGTGCAAAAGAATCTAAGAAAACTACGTAGTATATCACAGGTTTGGGAAAACTTGTCTAACATAAAATTCTAAAGTAACTGCTTGCATTTCACAAACACCATTGTCTAAATTTAAACTGGTGCATGTCAAACAACCTAAACCCCGATTGAAAGAGGTTGAATCTAAAATGTCAAAGATTTTACAAGCATCTTATTTGTAAACTCAAGTTGGATACTTGGATTGTATATCTAAGAAAAGCCTGGCAGAAATATGACAACTAGTTATTGAAACAGGAACATGTCTCTTATGGCATAAACTCAAATTCGTCGCTCCCTCATTCATCCTGTCCTAAGCCCCCTCTATTGCAATTGGCATATGAACATTAAGACAGGGCATCATTAAAGAAATAAGGACTTCGAGTGTTTTTCTTGCCTCTTTGCGTTATAGCCGGAGTGTAATTTCTTTTGGCGCCGCAGGTTCTTTGAGTCGAGTTCTTTTTCCCTTTCACTGCGCTTTCCACTGTTTCTACGACAACGGTTGGGTGACTTGGGTTTAGGAACTTGGTTTTTTGTTTCGGTTTGTGATTACTCTGTTTTTTGTAGTCATGGACCTGGTTCGGGCCGCCCGGCCCGCTACTGTGCGGGCCCGAACCGGCGCGGTTCTCAGGTCCAGGTCCGGGCTCGGGCCTTGTATTTGGCGAACCGGCCGGGTCGGGCCCGGGTCCGGGCTGAATTGTTTTTTTTTTTTTTTGGGTTACCCGGGTTGGGCTTGATGGTTAGGAGGGGTTTGGGGGGTGAGGGGGGTTAGGAAAGCAAAAAAAAAAAAAATAACCAAACCGGAGGCCCAGCCAGGCCCGGATCCGGTGGCTACCCGGGCCGATCCCGGGCCTTCCTTCCCAAAAAAAAGCCTGGCCGGGCCCGGCCCGGGTCCATGACTAGTTTTTTGTTTGTGATAATGATCGCTTTTAAACAAGTTAAGTATTTTTTTGAAATTATATGAAAAAAATTATTAATAATAAAGATTGGTATTTGATGAAAAAGTATTTTTTGGTAAGTAGAGTATTTGCTGAAGAAATATTTTTTGGTGTGATAAAAAAGTGAAGCATTTAAAAGCATGATTCTCTCTGTGTGACTGTTTAGTTTTTCACTTAAAATTGCTCAACAATAAGTAGAAGTTAATAAAACATTAATTTTAGGTATTTCCATTCAAAAAAATTAAACAGATGACCAAATTTTGTGAATTTTCTAGCACCATTTGGAAATGAATTTTAGCATGTCTAGGTATAAAATGTGTTATGTGTCTTGTGTTTTGGTGAAGTTGCACGTAGGGTTGGATTCGGGCCGGGTCGGGCCCGGGTCGAGCCAAGGCCCGACGGGCTTTCTGGGATTTGGGGTTGGGCCTAGGACCAGCCCGGGTATCCACCGGGTCCGGTCCAGGGCCGGGCCGGGCCTCAGGCCTCTATATTTTTTTTTTTTTGCTTTTTCTAATTAACCCCCGACACCCCCACCCCACCCCCCAAACCAGCCCAAATGGCCCAAAATACCCAGTCCAACCCGGAAAGTTAAAAAAAATTAAAAAAAAAATTAGAATTACGCCCGAACCGGTCCCGGAACTGGCTGGGCCGGTTCCATTTTCCCCATACCCGGCCCGCCACCCTCCCTAAACCGGGCCAATGACCCGGAACCGGTACCCGGTTCCCGGGCCGGGCCGGGCCGGGCCCACACAGTACCGAGCCAGTTCCCGAGCCGGGTGGCCCAAACCGGGTCCATCACTGGTTGCACGTAGTTAACAAGTGTGAAAATAATTTTTTTTTTGTGACTTGAGATTGACATTAAAGCACAAATGCACAATTGTGTCCAAGCTGTCTTGCCTAAGGAGATGTCTGCCCTTTAAAAAAATATTATTTACAGTAAATCATTCTTCTTCTATTTATAATGATTTAGTCCTACAAAAAGTTGGATGAAATGTGCTACTCCTACAAAAAAGACCTACAAAAAAGTAGGATAAAAATTAGTCCTACAAAAAAGTGGATAATCATTCTTCTTCTATGAGTGAATCATTAAAAAAAAGACCTAAGTAGATGAAATGTGCTACTACGTATTTTTTTAGTTCTACACTTCTACTAATGGTATATTGGTATCAGTATGCTATTGGTCTTAAATTTTCATCAAGGGCAAAAATTATGAGGACCCTTGAGGAGGCAGTATCAGCGGAGGTAGTATCAAATATTGATGTGTTAACTAGATTGTGTGAAATTTGAATTTTTAACATCAGCTAAATATAACGTTGCGATTATTAATCAGTACATGACTACATACTTAATACATTATTTCCTTCAAGTAATTTCACACTACTTTTTATTTGCTAGGGCAAGTTATCCAAAGTCCAAACACATAAAGAGAATCAATATCAAACACTTCAATGAGAATCAAACCTATGATTCTCCTTGTTAAATCTCCCACATGTGTGAAACAATTTTTTAGCATTATATTCTAAATCGTGTATATTCTCATTTATTTTCCATTTTACCTGTAACACCATTTTCAACCGTTTTATCTTCTTGAGAAGATGTTAAGTTTAAATGAAACTTGTAACAGATCATATACTCTACCTGTTATCCAAAGCTCTATATATTATCTTCATTCATACTAAATAAAACAATCATATCGCCTCTGTTTCTCTGATAGTATGATGCCCTCAAAGATTGATCATATAAAATGTAACTTCCTATCCAATACTCTTTTGAACGAGGTTCAATAAAGGGGATACATCTTGGGGTATTATGGTGGGGAAAGAGAACAGGTATCCGTAATTACTGAATGCAACTTCATAAGTTGGGCTGGGAAGTTGTTGAAGGTGTCCAGTTTAAAGCCTTCAATATGAAAGCATATGTAAAGGCAACTTCCTTGAGCTTTTCAAACCTGCACCCGAAATGAGGAATGATACAAGGAAAAGTACATTGTCACATCACTCTTAGGTCAAGTTTGTATAGACTCGATACAATGAATGGTCAGCATTATATTGCTAAGAATCAGATAAAAACACGTTTAATTGTGAGAATTCACCAAACCCATGGGATTTGAGCAAAACCCATGGTATAGGAGGGGCATGAGATGCACCCAATTTCAAAAATTGATCTAGGATGTTTTTACTTGAACTGGTTTCAGTCTCATACCATACCGGAACAGACCCGACTTAAACAAGTCGGATCAGACCAGACCAGACTTTGATAGTAATAAAATACACATAGAGCAAACATCTACAAGACTAGACCAAACCAAAGTTAAACAGGCCAGACCAGGAAAAACACCCTTATTGGCAATTTGGTATATTTTACTTATTCTAGCAAACAAAGTACTTGTATATTTTGTCAAAACACAATTTTACTAGATGTTCTACCTTTCAGAAAATTCAGCAGATTCAATCATGTGAGCCAAACAACTTATCAAATGGGCCCGAGACCAGTGGTGGAGCCACCTTAGTTCAAAGGTGTTCACATGAACACCTAAATTTTTGAAAAACATGTTAGTATACATGTATATAATTGGTTTAATTATTTATTGTTCTTTCAAGTTTTACTTGTATAAAAAATATGAACACCCAAAACCTAAATCATAAATCCGCCACTGCCCGAGACTTTCAAGACTAGGAAATTCTTGGGAATTCTGATCCAAAACGTTGGAATACAGCTGTGATTCCAAGGGATTGAGTATATATGTCCAAGCAAAGTTGAAGAGCCTTATATTATATTTAAGATTCCAATTTAATCTTAAATGGTTTAATACACCAGGTGTAAATCTCCGTCAATATGCTTTCTTAATGACTTATAGTTAAGCTAATTTAAAAACTCAATTGCAATAAATTTAATGTCAGGCACTCTAGCATAGTGAGAACTAAGGTGATGACGGTTTAGGCAAACAAAGCGGTAGAGCAAATTATCACACAAGCTTGCATGTGCTGGGTGAGTTAGAAGATCATACCTTCCCGATTTCGAAGAGTGCCCAGCGCTGAATTCACATCTGAACAGTAGTATATTGTCATCAGTCTTCTTATCTCTTAACTTGGCTACAAACTTTGCTGGTTCCGAATATAGAACACGTGTATCTATAACAAAGTACCAAAACACACATTAAAGTTTCTATACTAGAAGGTAAATAAATGACTACAACAGTCAGGACCCATACTATTAAAACTTCAATAGAGTGATACGGTTGATACCCATAGTTATTATTCCATTTGTCTAATCAAGAACAATTCGAAGAGTTCTATAATTCTACAACTGTAATACAGTTTGCATTTAACACAAGAGCAGCAGGTTGACACAGTTTAACCCCCTCCCAGGGCCCTTGGTTATGACAAAATATATGCAGCTATAAAAATCTAATATGGTATTAATGAACTTCAACTGCACGACCAGTCGACCAGCTGGGGAGCTGTCGCTATTCTCAGAATTATAACGCAAGCTAAAGCAAGTTTGAAGCACTAGTCATCTCAAATTCCTCTTTTGAACTTTGAAGTTTGAGGGACAAATTCACTTACCATTTAAAGCAGTTGTAACAAGAATTGCGGGGTAGTTTTGTGCCTTTACCTGTGGGAAAAACACATCAAGTGAATCAGCAACGACAATCAAAGCATGCTTTAATCTCATAACTTTATAGGAGGTACTCCCCCGTCCCTCACAACTTTATCAAGTTTTTGGTTCATATTATTTATCTCCTCGAAAAAGAAATTGTGATTATTTCTATTCATCTATGTCTGAGTCAAACATGACAAACTTTTGAAGGAAAGAGGAGTATTATTAAGCACTTTAGATGAAACTCTTCTTATCAGCCAATTACATTATCAACAGGAGAATACGACTTCATGTAGAAATAATATTCTTCTTGACGAGGATCCCCCCATTCCTGCAACAACAATAAAAGAAACCAAAAACAATTATTGGTATCCCAAACCTAGTCTAAACCTACAAATGTATCCATATGTTTCTAACACTAAAGAAACAGTTTAAGAAATTGTATAGGGGTGATAAATTAATCAAAAACAATTGATACTTTACCTAAAATCCATTTAATAAAAGCCACCTTAGCATTTATGTTTGTCTTGGGGAAGGGGTATATTGAATAGTATCACAAGAGGAAAATTGTGAAAGAACGCTTAATGTGCACAGATTTCATTAATGGACAAATAAAAAGAATCAAGGAAAATTGCCAGCATACGCTAATATATAGAAAAGGCTGAGTAGTTGATAAGATGCAAAAGATAAAGATAAAAGCAAACCTCCCACTCAGAAGTTGTAAGAGGAATAGTTGGGTCAAGCATTGTGGTTAAAACATCCAGAAAAGGAACTTCAGCTACAGCTGCCTTAAATAAATCAGGACGCATATTCACTGAAGCACCAATCAGTAACCCCCCAGCACTTCTACCATTAATGCATAGCTTTTCTTTGGTACAATACCCCTTCCCAATCAAATACTCTGCACAAGAAATGAAATCTGTGAAAGTATTTCTCTTCTTCAGCAGTTTCCCATTTTCATACCACGGCCTCCCCATTTCACCACCCCCACGAATATGAGCAATTGTATAAATGAATCCTCTGTCCAACAATGAGAGTCTCGCTGCCTTGAAATATGGATCAATGCAAACCTGTTAAGTATTTGAGGTTCTCATCCGTTATTTAGTAATTTGGATAAAGCAGCTATGAGTAGTGTGTTATACCTCAAACAAATTATAACTGAATCCCTTCTGAAGATTTTAAAAAAATTGTGGCTTCATATAGTTGACAGTTTGACACATAATCCGACCTTAATATACAGAAATAAGATTCAGGTACCCCATTCAAAAGAACTCAGAAAACTTGATGTCATAACATGTATTTCTAAAATATCAAATAACTTGAATTACACTTGAATACTCAACATGTAGCAAATTTTTTATTCTAAGAGTGTAATATACCTCATAAGAACCATAACCATAAAGAAGAAGAGGATCTGAACCGTCAAGCTTCACAAGATTCTTATTATAAACAATTGATATAGGTATTTCAACCCCATCTGAAGCAGTAGCCCATTTCCTTTCAGTCACATAGTTTGATGAATCAAAGCCTTCCAATACCTGAATCATATGATGAACTAAAATATCATGAAGGAAAAGGAACATGGAAACTCAATAGATATAGAAGTGATCCCTTTTTGTTCACTCCATTTGGTTGGGTTGAGAGGGTGATCAAACAACTGTCATCTAATTTTTTTAAATGAAATTAAAGAAATGATAATTCATACTCTAGGAGGTGCAGAGAGAGACAGAGGAATCACAACTAATATCATGAAAAGCGTATAGGTTTAATAATTTTGAAAAATTCTTATATTGACGATGAAAATAGTTCTACAGAGACATAGGCCCCGACTAATGCACCTGAAAGTTCGAAACTATTTCTACACAAACTCTAACCTAATGCAAGGAACTTGACAGAGATAAAAAGTAAAATTTCTCAACTAGCTGTGCTTGAATTAATCTTGCTCAAGTGTATGCCACAATGCAACCCATCCCGAGATCATTTTAACATGTGGCCATAATACATTCATAACCACACTAATAACTTACCGTGTCAATCTTCTTCAAAACAGAAACTCCAGTGTCCATGTCATAGTCATATACAGAAGGAGGAGTTTTGAGGGAGCTATAGGAAAACCTTAGGATGCTGGATGTAAATTGAGACTTTGATGGATCTACGGAGTATATTGGATCAATAAAATCAACAGCTCGACCACCTTTAAGTTTCTCAAAGGGCTCTCCAACAGCAGGAAGGTTATACACAGTTATTTTGGGCAAACCTTTTTCACGCTCATAAACAGCAATGTGATTGCGAAAAAGTTGAATGTCTTGGATCTTTATGCTGCAGATGAACACATTATTACCTAATTGCTCAAAATGTGAAAATCGTGAATGTAGTGGTAACCAAGAACGGTAGTTTTTCATATATATGTACACTAGAAAAGTTATATAGCAAAGAGGACGGAACTTTTAGACCCAAAAATCATGAAGAGAGAGAGAGGCTTCACAAGGCAAGAAGTTCTTGATAAAAAAAATGAGTACAAGGGAAACAAAAGAAAAGGCCATAATGATTATAAATTATAATGGGTGTAGACGCATACCTACTAATCATTTTTATCATTATAATTATAATAAGATAAAATGGCTCAAAATAATACAAACTATTCGACATAGACTAAAAACAATCCCATCTTTAGAATTTACAAATTGATAGCGAAACGATTTCAATATAAACAATTTCAACTCTACTTCTTATCTCTTTATACTATCTTCCTCAACTCTCTCTCTCTCTTCACACTTCCTCTTCTAAATCAAACAACCCTTAAGAGATAACAGTGAAGTTGCTGCCTGTAATCACTAGATTAAGCATAACTGTTGGATTATAAAGTATTACCTTGGTCGGTGGGGAAGAAGGACAGTTGTTTTTGATATATCCTCCACGGGGCATGCTAGCAATTCAGAGTTAAAACATTCATCACTCCTCTTCTGGATAAAAAAATGATTTCCCCGATGACTAACATATGTTTCAACTCCGCTTACTCGTGGTGTCAAAAGGACTAACCCATCTTCAAGTTTTGAAATGTCTAGATATAAAACAAATCTTGTAGTTTTACTCCCGGGAGATATAAATAGATATTTCTTGCTCTCAGATTCCAGAAGATCTAATGAAAACCTATCATCCTCTTCATGAAATAGGCAGGTGTCATGAGCTTGGTCTGTTCCCAACCTGTGCAACCACGCCTACAAATACAATATCAACAAAGAACTTTCATTGATAGCCATAAAGTTGTTGACCTGACCTGAACTGTATAGACCTTAAGTAACACTGCCTCCGTCACAATTTGTTTACCCCCTTTTCACTATTCGTGCAGTCAACCATACTCCTTTTTACTCTAATTTTTGTTTATCAAACTTTTATCATATTTGAGTTGAGTTTTACAGTTCAATAGACGCTATAGTGTGGTTTCTAAAGGAATGTTTAAAAGAGCTAAATAAACTGTCTTGCAGATTTTTTCTTTAAACAAGTTAAAGTAGTGTTTTCAAACAGGTGCTTATGCTTAAACTCCTTAAAGTTAAGCAGTTTCAAGCTAAAAGAGCAGAGGGAGGGGTGTTTAACTGTTTAAATCTGCTTTTCGATTTTTCTGTTATAAACATACCTTTTTCACCAAATACTCTAACTTTTACTTTTTTTAAAATCACTTTATAAACACTACCACGTGTTACTATTAATAACTTTTCATATAATCTCTAAAATAAATCACTTTTCAAAAGTAGAAGCAAAAGCAAACACTCTTTATGCATGATGTAAACTTTAATGGTTAATACTAATTTAAATATGAGCAGAGAAGGTGAGTCTCGTAATCAAAATAGAACGGAAGTAGTAATAAAATAAGCCATAAAAATATAGTTTTAATTTTTTATGGAGTTTGCAGCTTGAAAAAAATGAATGCCATTGAATATTATGAGATGCCAATTACATAGAAGCTATTTGTATAATAATCCTCAGGTGTATATAAAGGAATTAAGTGGGTTCTGTGGTTGAAATTTAATGAGTAAAATGAATGCCATTGAATATTATGAGATGCCAATTACATAGAAGCTATTTGTATAATAATCCTCAGGTGTATATAAAGAAATTAAGTAGGTTCTGTGGTAGAAATTTAATGAGTAAAATCCAAGTTTAATCTCTCATTATTTATAATTATTTAACATAGCATGAAAGCTGCCTTCATAGGCCATTCTGGCAAACTCCATCTTTTTTGTGTGAATAGTACCACTTCCGGATAAAATTTATCTCTTTTTATACATATTTGATGTTAGTTAATTCAATTTCAAGATGCAATCTTGTTAACACAGCTTTCATGTTTACAGCAAACTTTGATATTGTGACCAAAATGCTAGGCTAAATGTCATTTCAGATATGTATTACTGTATTAATAATTAAACTGAGAGACACAACTTCTAGGCTCTAGCTCATAGTCTTTTATGAAACACGTGTTCCAACTGGTGAAAACCTCATATTAATGAAAACAAAATATCCTCAACATAAATATAACAGGATTTGCAAGAAAGGTTACAACATGGCATGTTAGTCTAGGCCAATTTCCCTACCTTGTCAGGCCGAAGAGTTTCATCCATTGTGACATAAACTATGGCCTCATCACCTGCCCATTCAAGTTCTGATGTCAAACCAACAAGAGGCTTTCCAACTGGTGCTCGAGATTCAATGTCAATAATATGAACAGTATATATCTCATCTCCTTTTGTGTCTTCGGCATAAGCCACTAGCTTATTGTTAGGACTAACCTGATAGAAGGAAACAGTAGGAATGACAGAAGTATAGAGCCCAGGATGATAAAGCAAAATGCCCAAGAAACAAGGTAAAGCATGTAGTCCTTACTTTAAAAGCACCAATAGTGTAAAATTCACAGTCTTGAGCTTTAACATTCTCGTCAAGGATTACATGCTCTGGTGGGGCATCCGGCCCCGTTGGCATGGTATCATAAACAGATAATGCTGCTTCCTGGTTTGGTGCAAGGCGTCTACAGTGTTGAGCATATTCCTTGCCTTGTTGTGTCCTTTCGTAGTAGTAATAAGGCCCTAGTCTAATAGGTGCTGATATATCATCTTCCTTGATTCTTGCTCTTATCTCAGCATATATCTGTTCTTCCAATTTTTTTGTGCCTAAATAAGTCATTGAAGGGCATGTTTGGTAACGGTTGTTTTGCTGAAATGACTCGCATTGCTGAATATTCAAAGGAAAAAGTGTTTGATAACCATACATGGTTCTCAAAATTTACTTATTCTGCTTATTTGAATCTTTTGCTCCACAGCCTCCACATAAGGCTAAAAACGGGTTTTAATTGTTACTAATTCATATTCCAGAATGAAAATTTGCATATAATCATTGAGGGTGACTTCAGCTAGGCACATTATTAACTTCGCAGAGAAAAGTAGGCAAATTTGATGACCTAATGTATACTTCAAATCCCTTCAACCCATAAGTGCATTACTCTTAGAGTCTTGAAACTCTAATGAAGCATTAAAGAAACCAGGGAACTCTAGAAGATACAAGGAGTTAGTTATGTTCATGCTCTTCTTCATTCACGTGCACCTGCAGAAGCTCAACTCAACAAATACTTCAATTTCGACCGTCCACAACCCACAAATTATCTTATATGACCCCCAAATGCATTTGTTCCCATGAATGTGAAAAATAAGTTTTTTAGATTCAAGTTTAAATGAATGAAACACGTGAAAGAAGAGATCAAACAAAAGAGCAGACGAACCAGACATGACGCGATCAGTGTAGTCATTTTCCTCCCGGAGGTGAGCGAGAATTTCAGGGTCCGAGCGGCTATCGTCTCGCAGCCAATAGTAGTCGTCTACTCTCACGTCGCCGAAAAGCTCCATCTCGTGCCTCACCTTCTTCGCCACTGGCGGAGTAGGCATGCTAGCTGAAGTGTCAGTACTCATCGTTCGAGTGGGAAGTCGAACTATGCGAGAAATCCTCTTGGGCGTTGATTGACAAGCTAGAGCTTCGCGGAGTAGAGAAGAACGAGAGCTTAAAACATTGATAAAGCTGAGAGGACGAAGCATCCGGTCTAGCGTCCGCAATCACTCATGTTTGGTACCTCACATATACGTAGAATAAAGAAATACATTTGGCAAATATGGAGTAGTTTACAGAGGTGTTTGGATGTGATATTGTGATTGTTAAAAGTAAAAGCGAAGTGTTTGGGTGAAAATTGAGAATTGTGCTACAAGTGAAGAAGAGGGCAACATTGCAAAAGTTGTTTTCTTAAAATTAAAATGGTGAAAGAAATTCTGGTCAACCTGGTTTTGTATAGTGAGAGAAAGAACTTCACTGACCACATATTGAGATTCAACCTTCCGTTGTACACTTTTTGTCTCAAGAAAAGGAATTTACGGTTGCTTTGGAAGCACTAGCTCAAAATTTATCCGTATTTGACATTCCTTCTAGTTAGACCTCATGTCATTTTATATTAAGACATACGAAGTATATGGCATGTCATGTGCTAGTTAGACTCCAGTAGTAGGAGTGACGTGCTTATTTGACGAATAAGTCCCTCACCATTTCAATCCAAAAATTTTAGTAGCCTGACATATCTCAGCAAACTCAAAAGAAATCTTTTAGGAATGAAATGGTGAGAGACTTATTCGTCAAATCAACATGTCACTCCCAGTACTGGAGTCTAACTAGCACATGACATGCCATATACTTCGTATGTCTTAATATCAAATGACATGGGGTCTAACTAGAAGGAATGTCAAATACGCATAAATTTTGAACTAGTGCTTCTAAAGCAATCGTAAATTCCTTTTCTTGAGACAAAAAGTGTGCAACGGAAGGTTGAATCTCAATATGTGGTCAGTGAAGTTCTTTCTCTCACTATACAAAACCAGGTTGACCAGAATTTCTTTCAACATTTTAAGAAAACAACTTTTGCAGTTTTGCCCTCTTCTTCACTTTTACGCTATTAATAAAATACTCTGTATACTACATCCGTCCGTTTATAAAGGTCACGTTTCATTTTAGGGAAAGTTCCCGAAATGGGACTAAAAAAGTTCGAAAATTCCAAAATAGGACTGTCATGTTTTTATTCCCAAAATAGGACCAATTACTGCCAAATTTGGAAAATACTGCCATGTTTGAAGTCTGGTACTGCCAAAACATGACAGTAATTAGTCCTATTTTGGGAATAAAAACATGGAAGTCTTATTTTGGAATTTTCAAACTTTTTTAGTCCCATTTTGGGTAATATCTCTTCATTTTACCCACATTTTAAGGTGGCATTGTTTAAAACTACATTATTTGGCTCTATTCGTTTACCAAATAAGGAATATGACTTTTATTTAGGGACGACCTGAAAAGAAAAAAAGATTGAACTTTTATTTAGGGACGAAGGGAGTATTTTAAATATAAAAAATTATTCAATTCAGTGCTACCAAATGGACTTTTAATGTTTGTGAACAAGCTACAAGCATTAATTTATATATGTGCACTAGTTATGCGACGCGCTATGCGCGACTCGAAAATGCCCAATGTTTTTTGTGCAGAATTAATAAAATTAAATTTTATTGGAATTGCACACAAGAGAGGTATATTTCCATTCATAAATTTTATTGGTATTTTGACGCGTTGTTGCAACCAAAGCCAAAAACCAGCTGCATACTTCATTTGTCCCTTAAAAAATTGTCAACTTTCATTTTTTGATTGTCTCACTAACGTTGTTACTTTTTCGTTTAAGTAAAGAATTAGTGGTCATGTTTTAAGAGATGAAGGGAGTATTTAATTAAGAGCTTGTTTGTTAACTCTGTATTTCGACTTATCAACTTTATCAGCCAATTTTTTCACCAAGTACGTAATTTTTTATTAAAGTTGCAGTTACTTTTCTGGCTGCAATGACTGAAGTTACTGTAGAAGAAGACCATTTTAGCTATTTTCATATAATTTTTTCTTTATTCTATTAATGAAAAGTATTTTAAATATAAATTTTGCATAAAGCAGCTAAATCAGTCAATACAGTCATTTCAGCTAGAACTTCATAAATTTCAGCAGAATCAGTTAATCTAGCCAATTTCAATGTTACAAAATGGGCTCTAAAAGAGCGAGTTTCCACAATTTGTATGTCTTGTCTAATATAGGAAGAACAAAAGTAGTATTAATAACATCATTTGGACATATTTACAAACACCTAGTATGTTTCATATCATAATATATTTTTCTATCAAATTAAGCTCGCAATGACATATATTCAAATTGCACAAGTCTTAGTATGAAGCGACCTTTAACATGAAAACAATTTATCACAAAGATACCTAATACATTCATACTCATCATCATAATGCTCATGAAGGTTAAAGATGCATTTTGAAATATTATTACATAACATCAAAACATAAATAAATATAAAACACGAAAATAATATTTGCAAAAAAACATAAATTAATAAATAAATATAAAAATATATACTAAAACTAATTATAATGTCTTAGAATAATGTGTTGATGGATAGTGAAATCCCAAAGGATTAAATTGTATTGTTCCATAAACCAATAAAAACAAAAACAAATAAGAGGACATGGGACAAATTCATGAAGTTGAGCAGTGGCTATCTCTCCACTATCAATTCACAATATACAGAGTAATACTTAAACTCCACTCACAATTTACAATATACGGGGTATTACTGAAACGGAAGATGCGATAACAGAAGCATTGCAACACACCAGAGTTATTAACGGAAATCAATAACGGTAGAGTGAATTTCTTTAAAAAGAATACATAGGCCAAAACACAAAGTAAAAGCAAGTGATTTCACCAACACTTTTTTCAATCCTAAAATGCCCTAACTTTTATTGACAATTATAAGATCTTAAGATACGTCAATCTATGTACTACGTTTGTGTAATTTGCACACACATGTCTATATATATGACGATCAAATGACATGTTCCATTGTTACTGAGAGTAACTAATCGAAAAATAAATAGACTAGAACGGACATAAAAAACTGTCAATAAGTTGCTAATAAAGTCCTAATGGCGAGCAATAATTAAATGCATGTGTACGTGAGTACGTGACAAACTGAACCATTCTCTCTATTGGAATAACCAAATGGCAGAAGAAATACAGCTATGGGTTATGGTCTTACACTCTTATGGATACATTATACAAGCTACAAATAGAACAATGGGAAGGTGACGGCCTCACTTGCCATATGCCTGACATAGTCTTGCACAATTACTCACTACACGGCCCCTCAATGCATTCTATCCCTACCATGTATTGATATGGAGGGAAACAATGCAAATTCTGTTCTACTGATGACTACTCTCTGTATATAACTATTACACAGCATCAACCGGTGCAACCGAGGGCTTTGATGGAGTTGGAGACGACGGAGGCTTCAAATCTGGGTACTGAAATCCACAATAACATAGCGATATCAATATATCATGATATTTACTAAAGCTTGTTAAGTCCATGATGCATAATTCAGACTAACATTGCCTAGAAATTAGAAATTGAAACATGCTAGAAATGCATAATAAGGCACCTTATGGTCACCAGTTCTAACATGTTAGCAGAATAAGTAACTTTTCACTTAGTATTGCTAGCATTTTTTGGCTCACCGACTAGGTTTTTCACCAAACACAAACTTATTTCACAATTTTGCCAACATTCAATGCAAATGACAATTCAACCTTCACTTTAGACATTACTTTATTTCATTTGTTTAAAAGAGTCATTTTAAGTAAATCTTTTAGAGAATTAGCAAATTCAAACCTTTCAGCAGCAATTTAAGCAAATTCAGCCACATAGACATTTTAAGCCTTACCAGACCAACTCTTATTGGCTAAAATGGACGTTACCATACACTTCATTGCAGAAAAATTCAGCAGAAAAGACCCTGACTGAATAAAACCTACAGTTTTTTCAAATTCAGCAGAGGCTGTGCTGCTTGTGCAGATAAAGTGTTTGCCTTGTTTATTTGTTTTTTACATAGGCGAGAAGAGTGCATACATTTGTATAGGGAGATAATGGCCTATAACCACTTGAGTTGATCTCAAGGGGCATTGTAACAGATCCCTTGATAATCTCTTCACCTCTTTTAATACCGGAATCCATATCTTCATCTGGCTGGATGGCATCTGTACTGTTACCTTGTTCCAGTTCCAACACTTTGGCTTTCTTCTTGGGGTAGACACGAACAGATAAAGGGAGAAGTTCTTCTTGTATCTCCTACAACAAAATGGAGATGCGATCAAAGCACATAGATTAGTTTTTTAACAAAAGGGAGAAGTTCATCGCCTTCTTCGGGCGATTTCTGATGGTGTTAGGTGGCGGACCTCTCCAGTGATAAGAGAATCAAAGCACATAGATTAGTTTTTTAAGAAATGAAACGCAGACCGCTATATGAAAATGCACCTAACCACATGTACTTTTTCCATACTATTCCCTATTTTATAACTAGAAATTTGGCTAGAGTGCACATTTTATTACTGTTAAGATTCAAGACACATGGTTGCAATGTGCCAATGTATCAACTTATTCAGTTATTCCCAGATTAAGTACATTTAGAATAGATAGAGATATCACCTGCCACCCTTTACTGCCTCGTAGCCCACCTCGGATTGCATAGGCCTCTTTGAAACCACTTTTTACCAAGAGTTCAGCCACTGTGATCGAGTTACCATCAAAACTACCTTCCACATAGCAGTCAATACATCATTTATTCATTTTTCAAAATCATCAGACACTGTATATACTAATTTTAAATCCTAGAGGTAAACAATCCTATTTAACACCTAATAATGACCCATAACACACTCAAGTCCATTCCAATTTTGAACTCAATGCGCTGCAATTAACACATAAAGTATTGTTAAATCATCCCACATAGGTCAAGTACACATACTGTACTATATCAAAATGCTTACTGTTCGTGCTTACAAGGATCAAACTACTCATTGGAACGGTGGAACCTAATGCTGGAGGTTTCGCCCCACAGTCAATCTGACAGGCTAATCACTTATATGCAGATCTATGTTTTTGTATTTGGTCGATGTGCTTAGATGTGAGATGACTTAACAAATATTGCTGCAATCAAAATTTGCTGCAACCAGTAAGATATGAAAAGTATCAACTTATATCACAAAGATTGGGAAAGCTCACTGGTCTATAATGCAAACATTTGTGCTTTGCGGTTCTGGAAATTTCTCCATAACCTCCTTGACAAAAGCATCTTCATTTCCTCCAACGAAATGAACCTGTCTCGCACTCTTTTTCAAGAGTTTCAAATTGGGGGAATTTAAATAGGCCAGAGCCCTCTTATCCCTGATATCTAACATCTGATAATTCGGGTCATCCCGGAGCTTCTTAAATGCATTAATGGCAGAGATGAACTTGTACTTCTGCATGTACTGCTGAGTGAGTGGGACTGCTGCAAGCCAAATAAATGCAACGCCAAAAGCAACAAAGGGATACCTAGTGAGCAGTTCATCAATGGAGACCACAATTGCTTCTAAATTTATTTTACTTGGAATCTCTTCAGTGGGTGCAGCAATTTCAGAGGCGAAGCACGAAAAGGGGAAAGATAAACCCGTGAAAATAGAGAAGAAAAGGGCTTTCGGAGAGTTCCCGTAAAGATTAGCGCCGGTGAGAGCCTGCGGTCGGGGCAAGAGAGGCGTTAGGCTGACATGGTTTTGTGGTGAATTTGAGCAATGGGGGGTCAAATTTCGGGTTGAAAGGGATGATCGAAGAGAGTTGAAGTTGGGCTTCAGGAGTTGAGTTGTGCAGTGATCAGAGGAACGCGTGGGAATGGAGATGGCTAAGGAAAGAGACTCCATGGGAGGTGGAAACTGGACAGGGAACGCGGGATAGTTTTGGATAGATGAGATCAGATGACAGTGATGAATCTGACTCCGCGGTTCAAACCTTTTTTAAGGGGTGTGTTTTTAAAAGTGGGAAAATAATTAAAAATACATCAAATATGGATGAATACTCCAAACTTGCATATATGATTCAAATACTAAGAGATCTTCTTATACAAAGTGAGAATGAATCTTGTGCATTCATTTCCACATCTAATGACTCAAACTTAGTCAAAAATGCACAAAATTCGGTCAAAATCGCAGTGGCACTTTTGTAAATATGCTGCATTTTTTCTTTACCGCGAAAAAGTGCAACAGAAATAAAAAAAAGTACAAGTGAAACATGAAAAAGTGCGTATCTTCGCACTTTGCACGGGAAGGGGTCTTTTTATTTGAACTCTTCCCGTATTTTAAATATCTCAAATTCATATAAAAAGTTATTTTGACACCATAGTAAAGTATTATTTCTTTCAAAAAATGTAAATTTATGGTGTTAATTACATAGTTTAAAATATTTTACAATTCATGAAGACACAATTAACATTATAAACTTCCATTGCAAAATAAATAAGGTTACCCCCCTCCCAATCTATATAATTGCAACACTTTTAATTTGATATTTAGGAAACTCTTCCGGTAAGGTATACCTTACCGGAGCCTCCGTGCGGCCTCCACGTTTTGAGGGCCTTCCCGGTGGAATTTTTCGATGAAATTTTTTGATCATGTTCTTAATCGAGTCTAGTACATCCATACCAAATGTCAGCAAAAAATTCAATCGGGAAGGCAGTCAAATGATTTTTGGAAGGTAACTGTACCCTTATATACATATAAAACGCAGTTATCTTCCAAAAATCGTTTGCTGCCTTCCCGATTGAATTTTTTGCTGAAATTTGGTATGGATGTACTAGACTTGATGACGAATATGCTCAAAAAATTTCATCAAAAAATTCCACCGGAAAGGCCCTCAAAACGTGGAGGCCGCACGGCGGCTCCGGTAAGGTATACCTTACCGGAAACTTTTCCTTGATATTTAAATTATGCAATTAACCCCATAAATTTACATTTTTAAAGAAATAATACATGGCAATGGTGAAAAAATAAGTTTTATATAAATTTTGGTGTATTTAAATTACATACACAAGTTTGGGGTGTTTACTTCACACCCCATCAAAGTTTGGAGTATTTTTTATTATTTTTCCCTTTAAAAGTCGATGATTTTAAAGAGTGAGGTGTACTCTTTATACGATGTCGCTAATATATTCTTAATTCCGGTTAAGGCAGCGGGAGCGTGATTTTTAAGTCCCGTTACGATTTACATTCATCTACTCAAAACCCCGTTGAATATCAAGACATCGACCTGTATCATGTAAGACCAGATATATTTCTATTTTCGATACTATATATTTATACTTTAGTTTTCATGGTTTAGACATCAACGTTAATTGCAAGCATAGGAGGAGAACATTAATTTTCTACCCTAAATACTCCTAAGAGTATTAATTCATAATAAAATGTTTTGATTTATAATAAAATCGTAAAATATTAATTCTATGATTTGTGAATGATTTAGGATTTAATTCTGTTTTTGAAATTAAAATCGTAAAAGTTTCCATTTAGTCATATTTAGGTCAATTTTTAAATCTTTTATAAAAATTGCAATAAATGGGTTAAACTTTTCAAATAAAGTTTAAAGGGATTTTGCCTTCAATATTACTAAATTAAAGCCACTTTCCTCAAATGTGACCATTTTTCAAAAAGTCAAAAAAGTGACTGCCGCTGTGACTGTAACCACTTCCTATGTCACTATAGTCACCGCACATGTCACTGTAGTCACCGCTCGTGTCACTGTAGCCACCGCCCGTGTCACTGTAGCCACCGCTCATGTCACTGTAGCCACCGCCCGTGTCACTGTAGCCACCACTCGTGTCACTGTAGCCGCCACCCGACAAAGTGACTGGCCCGCTAACTCCATCCACCGCCACCACTTTCCGGCCACCCCTCCCCAGCCCGCAAACCCCCTCCATAACCCCTAGTACCATCTAGGTCCGCCCCCGACCTGCCCAACCACCTCCCTAGCTTTAACTCCGACTGGCCTGCCCTGTTCCAACCCTCCCCAGCCCCTGCTCCGACCAAACCATATCTGAAATGCCCTAACCCCGATCCCGACCTAGCAATGCCGCACACCAGCTCCACCAGCCACGCCTTGCTTCCAGTCCGTCCCAAACTGTCAAAGGCAACACACTAGATCCCCAGCCCCTAGCCCCACTCCTAGCCACTATCCTTGCGCACCAGATCCCCACTACGCACCGGATCCTCATCCAGCCCCAACCCCCCAACATTGAGGACGGCAGATTCGGCATTTGCTGCGCCAAATCGGAGTGGTTGTCACCGAGCTCGACGGATCCAGATTTGGAGGCCCCAAAACGAGTCGTCAGCTACCCAGGAAGCCGGATCCGGCACTGGAGAAGGCGTCTCCCATCGAGGACGACAGTTTCAGTGGAGGCACGGTCATCGAGGATGATGGAGGAGGAGGTCGAGTTCAGTTGCAATCGATAGAGAAGGGTGAGGGGGAGAGTTGCGGCAGGTCGGCGGCGGCGGAATAACAAAGGCGGTGAAGAAGAAGGTAGTCGATCAGTTGGGTAAATAGGAAGAAGCCTTGCGAGGTCTGTTGGCTAGAAAGGAATTGAAGAAGCCTGCGATTCTGCGAAGAAGAAATGTCGAGAGAGAGGCGGATGGTTTCTTTTTTATTCACTTTTTTGTCCAGGTTTAAATCAGGCATATTTTTGTCTAACCAAACTCCGGAAGTAATATCTAAGCCATTTTTTCAAGTTTAAATTGTATATTCCATAAATGGGACTCCAGATTACATTTTTACTCAAAATTATCGCCTTTTCCCCCAATTCCTCTGCCATCAATCGATCGTGACACCTTTGATTACAAACCTCCCCTTGTGACTCTGCCATGGACGCAGCTCGATAGCCATCGACCGCTCGAAGCTGGCTGCTGCACCTTTTCTATTATTTCTCCGGAAAAAAAAATAAGTCTTCTTCTCCCCAGTCCCCACTCCTGCACTCCGTCATCTGTTTTATTCTATTCATTCGCTACCTTTTCAATTTCTAATTAAACTTTTGGTTTTGAAAATTCCAAACGAAGAACAATATTTCTTGGAACGACAACTGATATGAAATATTTTAGTTTGGATTTTAATTTATTTACAATTTTGATCAATTTGGAATACTCCCCCATCCCTAAATAAACATCTCAATTTCCTTTTCGATCCATCCCTTAAAAATTCCATGTTCCTTATTTGGTAAACAAAACCGTGCAAACCAATGTCAAACACTGTCATTTCTTACATTGTGTGAAAGTCAAACAGGGCCTTTTGAATTGGGACGGAGGGAGTACGAGAATGCCACAACTACCGGTTATTAGAAAAATTGTCACTTTTTCGAATATGAGAATGCCGGATTATTATGAAAGTGTCATTTTTATGGCATTATATTCAAATTCTGAACTTATAAAGATGTCACTTTTAATATGATGATTACATAATTTCTTACGAAAAGGTCACTATTATGAATCAAAAAATTCTTTTATTTCTCATCTAATATATTATTATGTATTTTAACACTTGAAAATGTCATGTTTTTTATACGAAAATATTATTTTTATGTCATTGCTTTATCAAGATGGCATTCTCGTTGGAGGTTTGCAGTGACTTGTTGGAGGCAGGTTTGCTCGAAGGTGTATCAGGCCTAGTTTGTATGATGAGTCCAAGTGCTTAGACGCTCGACAAACTAGCTCCGAGAAGCTTGGGAGCCTGGTGGAAAATGATTGTTCTGTATGGAATGTGAATTTTATTGTTATTTTATATGTATTTATAATTTATCCATTAAAGATCAACTCGCTTGTAAAACCCCAAATCCTATCATTGACATAGTTGTTATAATGAATACCTGTAGTACAAGGTAACCACGCCTACATAAGATGTTGAGGCGATCTAATTCAACTCAACTGTCCACCCAGCCAGGCGCCCCCACACCCTGACCTGACAAAATACGATTTAATTCAACTCAAAACTACACATATGGTTTTATAGTAGAATAGGACCCTATATCTCGATCTTATAGTTTGATGGGAAAATAAATTACAGTGCCTCAATATTACTTCATATGAGGGTATGAGGAGTTGATGACTAGGTGTCTACAAGAAACATCACTATATTTCGGTCAGTATAAGGGTTGAAGCTCTCATAATATGGTTACCAAAATTCAGCCCTGCGTTTCATGGTATAATTTCCCACTCATATTCAATTTGAGAACGAGACAGGGTTGCATGTTCTTAGAAAGTAATGGTTGTCGATTTTGTAGGGCTAGCAATGAATAATTGATATAAAAATCGTTCAAGTTTCACAAAATTCCGTGAGCATGTTGACATGATCTGTGGTGGGGATAATCCTAATTTTGTCATGTTGTATATACTTTTAATCTAAGTTTGGATTTTTAAAAGCTTTAGTACACTCCCTCCATGTATTTTTTTCTAACAATGAAACCCTTCTTTGAGCTTTCCACGTTGGAGAAGTCTGTTTCGAAAATGAGATTAAGTGATTTCATGCAAGCCACATACAACTTAAACAAAACCAAGATTATTGAGTCAGAAAGAACTATGACTCTTTACAAGGGAGTTCTTGTAGACATCACATCTTTCATGGTTAACAGATAACAAACACTCTCAAAATGAATTTGCATCTGAGATGGCAACAATCGGAATGGTAAAAACAACAAGTTGGTCCCTCTTTTCGGATTTTACATGGCAAAACAAGAAAGGCTATTGGTCTATAAGTACATGCCAAACGGAACCCTACACAACAAGTTGCATGATGTTAAGACATGGGGCTCCGTCCTAAGAGGTCAACCTAATAGGAGAAGTGTTCAAAGTCTTATATAGTGTTTTATAGTTTTAAATTTTTATAGCTTTCTAGTGTGGGATAATTAAATACTTTAACACGCCCCTCAGCCCGAACCGGACTGGGCAATAACAGGGTGTATAAATGGGC